ATTCACACCTCAAATTTTGTGATATTTTCTAAACATGGAATTACTACATTGGTGGATTGTGAAAAGTTGTACTTAGACCTCTTCCGATAACGCCATTTCCCAGAAAATCTTCATTTAGAAAACCCCCAAAGAACAATGGCATGGTCAGTTGTCACTGAACTGAAACCCTGTAATTCATTCCATTCCAAAAGACAACGCCCCCAATCCTGAAATTCAGACTTAGCTTAACTATATTTTTCTGGGAAAACTCATGAACCCATTAGATGACACACAAACACACAGAACCACACGGAACTCAAACTAGAATTCTGCTAAATTATCCACAACAACCCCTAGTGTAATCAGTTTCATTCCCTCAAATTTTCTCGGCTACCAAACACGACCCGTCACTCCAAGAGACAATTATCCAACCAGACAAAAATGATACGTGTTCTGTTAGAGTTTAAGCAAACAACACCTCAAAAACCATAGGCAGAAGCTCGCCATCATCGTCGTCCTCCTCCCAATCATCAAAACCAAAACCAAAGTCATCATAGACCTCATCGCAATCGGACCACCACATCCTCTTCTTTTCCCTATTTCCAAACTCGAAAGGATCGAAGCCTCCGCGGCCACGGAGCCCCTCCTCAGACCGGAATCTGAAACGTCCACCGCCCGCCGCAGGGCACTCGCGGGAATCGCGGATCACAATGTCCCGCCATAGTAGCCTCTCTATTCTCCCGATGCAATATCGATGACTAGGGTTTCGGATAAGAGGTGAAGAACACGAAGACGACGAAGAGAGCTGAAGGAGCAGATTCGCCATTGACAGGGGTGATGATTATTATTACCGTTGAGGCAAATCCAAATAATAAAAATAATTTTTTTAATCGTATTTTTACGGTAAATAAATAGAGACCGGAGAAGTATAATACTCTACGGCTTGGTTTACAACATGTATCTTTATACCCAATGAAAAACTGACACGTATAAAGTAATTGGCCACCGAACATTTTGGTTCCTTTCGGATAGAAAATGTGATTATATCAATTTACTTTGCTCAATGTAAATCATATGTTCGTGGAACACAAATCTCCCGACCGGTGGAGTGTCACCTGTTCGCAAACGCAGTCCACTTCGACCGCTACAGCCACATTACAAACGCAGCGTTTTCAAAGTCGCCAAAACAAGACCGCTATACCATATTATACACCATTATACACATATCCATCACAACCATTTGATAAAACTACATTCAACTAATCAATCCCCTGCAATGAGAGACCTGTCCTTTTCCAAACCCTCACCACCAGGCAGAGACTTCCGTCCCCTAAATCTTTGGACTGTACGGGAGGCTTACACCTCTCAACAGATCTCATCCCCTTCCCAGTTATCCTTCTCTTTGGGACCTGTAGGACCTTCCTCGCCGTAAAGAGCAATGGGAAACAGATCGAGAATGTTCGCAACAGAGTACCTGATGATCAGAGGAAGAACGTTCATGATCTTGTTGATCTCGGAAGCCGAGTCGTAGGCAATGGTGGGTCCCCATTCTCTCATGTACTGCAGCCAACACGGCTCTTCCACCGCTCCCTCGCCCAGATACTCCGCGGCCACGATCCTGTACCTGCGGCTCCCGTCCAGCCCGTACTTGCTCTTCGCCACGTCGTTCCTCACCCCTATCCCGAGCTTTTCTGAGCCTTGCAGGTACATTCCCGGGTGCGGGAAACTGGCGTGCCCGTGTTTGGATGCATAGACGATCGGTTTGTTGCCATTGATGAACTCAATATCTGAAGCCTCAACCCAGCCACCTCCGCTGTGTTGCGAGAAGAACATCTGCAGCCCGTACTTGCTCTTCGCCACGTCGTTCCTCACCCCTATCCCGAGCTTTTCTGAGCCTTGCAGGTACATTCCCGGGTGCGGGAAACTGGCGTGCCCGTGTTTGGATGCATAGACGATCGGTTTGTTGCCATTGATGAACTCAATATCTGAAGCCTCAACCCAGCCACCTCCGCTGTGTTGCGAGAAGAACATCTGCCATAGCTCTCCGGTGTGGTTGCTGATGCGGAGGGTGAAGTGTTCCCAGTCGCCCACATGTTCTCCAATGCGGTTCATGGGTAGGGTGAGCAGACCGATTTTGAGCGTGGCTGGACCATTAAATGGGCAGAATATCCACATCACGATGTCGGTGAATGTTCCGCCGAGCGCTGGCTTCACGTGGACGTAAAGCTCGGAACTTTCCAAGTTTCCCTTCTCGAGGTTACTTCTTGCTTCCTTTTCTTCGGGCATATCTATCCAGTATTCACTGTCATTTAACCCTCCTGCAGGCAAATTCGAGCCCGTGGAGTTGATCGGTTGACCTTCTGATTTCCCGTGTCGGTAGAGCAAAGCTCCGTTTTTGAAGAACCACGGCACGGAAGAAGGCAAGTAGGTCTCCTCGGGATGGAAGAAGACCGTTGGCCCGTAGTGCTCAATAAGTGCATGAACTTGGTCAAGATTCGGCATCGAGTGTAGGGTCGGATCAAGATTCTTTAAGCAAGCAATGTCGAGGGCGTTTTCAGAAGACAAATCGTGGGTGCAGCAGAAGAATGTCCCGACAGTGACGCCAGGGCACCACATCCCTCTCTCGCAAGGTCTCGTGCTCCATACACGAAAAGGGCAATCAGAACCGACACCTAATATCATATCACAGGCTTCAGAGCTCTCTGTAAGATCCTCTCTAACGCATCTAACTTCTTCTGGTTCAGGCTCGTCCTGTCTATCGGTAACAACAACGCCCATAGCTTTGTAACCTACCGGAGGATTAGGTTGCCAGAAGTATCCGCCGCCATTTTTGTCTGAATCCGAACTCCAAACTAGAGAAAAACTCACGGGCTTTCGTAGGGGAGGGAGATCTTCTGTGTGATCATCCTTGATATTGACTGGTTTGCTACTAGCACGAGCTGCGAGTACATAGCCTCTCAATGGCTGATCCTTTGGCTGGCAATAATGACCTAGGCAGTAGAAGCCTTCCGGGATTTCCACGGGTCTGTAAAACGAGGCAGAGTTTGATTTCCCACGGGACGAACCACAGCTCCAAATTCTCTGGAATTTGGTAACTTTCACCACTTCTATCTCTCCAAGGTTTATCGTTCCTGTGGCAAAACCTCGACCTGAGAAGAAAACACAAAGCAACATCTCATCACTTTCAGCCGGATATTTTACGAGATTTCAAATGACTCGACAACGTTCTCCAACATATCATCCAAAGAAACACATTGAATCTTTCACTTCGAATAGAGATGACAGTGCATTCAAACATTATTTCGGGATTTGATTTAGAAATTGCAGATATTTCTGAAAACAGACACTCAAATAATGAAAATCCCTGTGCTCCTGCCAGACAAATTAGGGTTATTAATGGACAAAAGCTTATTGTATGAACAAGCTCCCATCAATGATTGTTGTACATTTCTTTCCTAGTTAAGTTATGTTCTTATCCAGAATTTTGATCAAAGGGCAAGCTCATGGACCAGACAAGAACTAGGAAAAGGACAACGGGTGTCCATGAAGAATATTCCAACGCATTTTTCTCAAATCGCACGTTAGAAAATCTCTGCCAGAACAACAACTGATACTAAAGCTAATCAAAATCAATTAGCTAAGTATAATCCCGCATCAGATGAATCACTAAGTACCTTACTGTCCATCTAAATTACAGGGCTTTATAAATTGTGATCCATAAACTACACAAATTGCATGTAAAACAGGAATCTTTACCAGGATAATGCTACAGGAAATTAATCTATGGTTTTGTTACAGACTGAGATGATACAAAACAAAAACAAAATGAATGATTTAACACAAACCGATGAATAACATTAAAACTGAGATCATGTATATATATGTATATGTATAGATTTTTCCCCAAATTGTCCGCAATTTAAAGTAATTATTGACTCACCGTATGATATTTTTGGCCATATCTATAATTTGGCAAAAGAACAAAAGCCAAAGACTTTGAAATTACAAGTGAAAATACAAATCTTGGAAAGAAAGGGAGGAAATAGGAAACATAAGGGCTTCTAAAACAAAAAACAAAAATTGCAACTAAGCCCTAAAAACATAAATTTCCTGATAAAAAAAACAGTAAATAGATCGATCAAACTTTTTTTTCTAATTCAAGGATTATTATCAGTACCTTGTGGCCAACGAGGAAGAGGACACGGAAGCGAAAAGGGCTTTGGCTCAGGCGATTCGGTTTCCAACTCGAAGAAGCCCTGGCTCCAGTAAAAGCAGTCGCAACCACACCCAAACATCGTACGAATATCGGGGTTTCTGGCGAAATTCGGAGAAACCCAACAAAATCCACGAGTCAATTTCAAGTGGGTGAGGTTCAGATTCTTCGAATCTGCAGAAATTGGGGACGTAAATCCGCGTTTAAGTCGCCGGAAACTGGATAAACCAGTCTTCCTCTCTGTCCCTCTCTCTTCCTGTCTCTCGCTTTGAGAGAGCTATAGAGAGAGAAACTAAGAGAATTGGGAGCTTCTTCTTCTTAGATTTCTCGCTCGACCAACATTTGCAGAGAGAGAGAGAGAGAGAGAGAGAGAGAGAGAGAGAGCAGAGAGGCGTTGAAGTTCAACTTGCGTGAGAAAGAGGAGAAGGTCGATGTTGGATGGTGAGGTGGTGGTGGACATGGTGTGGTGGGCGTGGCCTTTTGTTTTCTTGCCTTTTCTTTTTCTTTCTTTTTTTCGTGCTCTTCGCTTTTTCCGTTTTTTATTTTTATTTTTCGTGAATACCCAAAAACCTTTTCTTGAGCACCCCTCTATTGTAAAACATTTACAAATTAGTTCCCAACAAAATAATCAATCTAAAAGATCCCTCACAGGAATCATGACAAAAAAAATCAGTCGTTCTAAATTCTTCCGGGGGGGAATGTTGACATTCGCATTTATTGGGGCAAATTCGCTACACGCAATTTAATTGAGTTGGTTTTGCACTTTGTTAGCTTCTAAGAAATATATAACTCGAATTTATTATATAGTTTTCCACAAAATATTCTCTGACTCCTCGTTCTTAATCGGTTGAACATCAAATATTATCATAATTATAGATATATGACATTTGACCTGCATTTAAAATTATAGATCCAATAAAATATAGTTGTAATAGTTTATAAGATATTCGGAGGTTGGACAAATCAAATTATTAGGCAAAACTCATACTTTTTCTCTCTCTCTTATTATATTTTACGTGACCATAAATGTCTTGTCACTATGAAATGTCGTATTCATCCATTTGTAATGGATATAACTATTTAATGATTTTCTCCCCATTTATTGAGCCGCCTAGTTAGACCTATTTTTCTAATCACGTTTTTGTGATATTTTCTAAACATGGAATTACTACATTGGTGGATTGTGAAAAGTTGTACTTAGACCTTTTTTTGTTTGAATAAAGTATGCAACTTCACTTTAGCTTAAAAATTATTAAAATTTAATTGTATGATTGTAGTGGTAGTTAATTAATTGGTATGCTTTGGAATAAAATTTGTATTTAAAAATTATGCTAAAATATGAGAATAACCATCTTTTAAAAATAATCATAGATATGTGTGTGTATAGACACGAAAAATAAATAAATATGAAATTTAATAAGTATCATATCTAAAATAAATATAATTTCATATAAATTATGAAATTTATTTCTAATATGAAAACTAGTGGAATACGGGGGTATTATTTCTTTCAAAACACGTCATAAGAATGTATGTGTAAAGCCCAAGAATATACAAACAGACTGATATACAATCAGAAATCCAACGTATATGTATGTGTCTTCATTCTGCCTATGTATCTGACGTGGAATTAAATCTAACAGAAAAAATCGAAATAACTTTCACATGCTACTTTTTCAACGTCTCATAAATGAATTTATTTTTATTTATACTTTCGTCCGATACTTTTCAATTATCAATTTAGCCCCCGCATGACTTCATCACTTAATAATGTTATCTCAAGTTGCAGAATGGCTAAAGGTTTCGTCCACAGAGCTGAGATTCGCCACTTTGTTGTTCGAATACTTCTTCTTCGAGCTCCCTCCATCTCCTCCGCCGCCGCATGTTATCGAGATTTCGCACCCGAAAACGTTGCCGAAACACGAAAACAGCCCTTTCTTCCTCTCCTCGTCGCCTTCTTCTCTCCGCCTCTGCTTGTCCCTTCTCCTCCGCCTCCTCCTCCATCTTTTCCGGCTACCCGTTTTCCCGCTCGAATCGCTTCCGGCCGCCGTAACGCCGGAATCCGCATCCTTGTACCGCTTCTCGACATAGCTCGGCGTCGTCTCGCTCCTCCATCGCTCTAAACGGTGTTTCACCCCCTCCGTCGTGCCTTCGAGGATCGAGCTCGCGTCCTCCTTGTTGGCCGGAGGCTTTTGCCGGTTGTATAGTCCCTGAGCAATCGCCGCCGCTACCACCGACGCCGACGGCCCGATATCCGAGCAACAGAGATCAGAACCGTTCACCATACTGTCCGTACCTCCGTACCCTATTCCGCCTCCGCCATGGCCGTTACCGTTACCTCTTCCTCCGCGGTTGACCACCCCCGTTTTCAGACCGTACACGTCATCTGCCGTCGACGTCGTGAGATCCGTCTGATCGCTGTGCGTACGACGGAGGATCCCTCCTCCGACAACGTTGGTGCCGATGTCGTCCATTGTCTTATCACGGTGGTTACTGCCGTTGAAAACCTCGACGGAAAGCGGCATGCTCCGCTGCATTCCATCGAGGAGAGCGACGCCGAGGCGGAGGAAGCCTTGAAGCCGGCCGGAGGGACGGCGGATGTGGAGGGGCGTTGTTGTTTCCTCCGCCATCGCCGTCGGCAAAGCCCGACCACGGAGCGAAGAGGTCGCTGAGTAGGACGTTAACGGATCCGACCAAAGCGTCCTTGGCCCAAGCCGCGGCGTAAATCTCGATGACAATGGCGGAGGCGTCGACCTTGAGGATCTTGTCGTTGACCCGAAAGACGAACTTCTCGTTCCAGATAGGGTTCGCTCTGTTGGTTTGGTCCACGGGGGTCGTGAGCTTGCGCATCGGGTCGGTATTGATCCATGCGACAGCGTACGTCTTCATGTTACGGGACACGCTGGCAAGATCCTGTGCCGAGATTACGTTTATCTCGAGGACCGGCAACGATAATCTCAGCCGACCCATGTTGTCTGGTCGATTAGATTTCACGTAGATCTACGTTTTCTATTACAAGAAAACGAAGAACAAGATGCGATATGAGAGAGAGAGAGGTGGGTGGGATCGGAAGAGAATGAACCCCACCGCACGCCTCGATTCTACGATTATAATCACAGTTCTGAAAGAATGGGTGGATTTGTACGTTAAATCTCGGTTTGAATCCGAAAGAAGAGGAGGGGTTGACGGTTTTTACAGACAAGATTTTGGCCGTTAATTTTGTTTCAAATTTTGTGTCAACGGTCATAAGGTTATAAGAGGGGGGGGGGGGGGGGGAGAGAATCTTGCGGAGAGAGAGGGTTTTGACTTTTTTTTTTTCACTGCGGTAAGAGTTTCGAGAGTTTGACGTGTTTCTTATGTAATTTTAGGATATACAGCGAGACTTTGGTCAAAGAAGAGAGGGATGTCTTGTTACAGCGATTTTCTATTTTTAGAGATTCAGGTAAAATTAACTAATTAAGATGCTCCTCGTTCACGATCTGATTTTACTATTTATGGCATGTATATAATCTATAGAATTCCAAACTAATCAATTAGAGGAACGTATAATTATAAATTCACACCTCAAATCGCAAAAAAAAAAAAAAAAAAAAAAAAAAAAAAACGAAAAAAATCCCTTTCCCCCAAAAAAAAAAAAAAAACAATAACAGTTATCAGTGTCGAAGTTACATGCAAAATCATGAATACCTTACAAAATGAAAAAGAAAAAAAAAAGAAGAAGAAGAAGGAACATTTTGAGGTTATTGGAACGTTTTTTTAATACAAGATAAGCGAGAAAAATATACCAAAGCCAAAGAAAACAAACACGGTTCATGTATACAACCATTTCCATTTTAACTATTTAACATTTTAATCATCGATTAATCCATAATTTATAGGCGATTACTAATTGCAACGTTATTATATCAATCATAATCATGTGTTTATAATTATATTTGCCGATTACATGCATGGTAGGTATATTTAGTTGAGAAGCTTCACGAAAATCCATCTTTTGCCAACGCTTTAGAAATGTTTGATATCACGAACTTTTAATTCCTAATCGTTATCATGTCAATATTATGGTTAGATAATCAAGGATTAGGCTTGAAACTAGTACCCATGCACGGCCTAATTTAATACTTAAACCTAGCTTTATACAAAGTCATTAGCAGAAACATGAAAAATAATAAGTAATTGTTCCATTATTTGTCTAACCTAACTCAACCCACGTCTACTATTATATCTCTCCATCCATGATGCAGAAAGATTAATTTGACCAATTAATTAAATCTCTTTTTAATTTTATCCAACATGTGTGTTCTAACACAAACCCTAGCGCTCGTTCCTCTCTTTCTCTCACCTCTCGCCATCGCATCTCCGTTCGATTACGACACCTTGGTGTACAAACAATGCGAAACAGACGTGAACCTTCCTTCTCATTCAGAAGCTATCTCTTTGTTCTTCCACGAGCTCGAATCGAAATCCTCTCGATTCAGTTTCTTTAAAACGTTGGTGGGCAATGAAGCTTCCGCAGTTTCTGGAATGTTCCAATGCAGAAAAGATTATCCGAGTGATAGATGCCGTACGTGCGTGACTGATCTCCATGAGCTGTCGGCCAGTTTATGTGGAAATGCCACGTCAGTTCGTGTTCAAATCCGAGGATGTCACTTGAAGTACCAAACTGAAGCTGTCGACGGCAATGGTGTCGGTATATACCATTTCCCATCATTCGCAAAGATTTCTTTATTTTTTCTAATGGAGTTTTAATTTATATATAAATCTATCTGTACGTTTTCATTAAAAAAAAACAGTGTGTCATATATGCCATATATAAAATTTGTAGTTATATTCTTTTTGGATCATTACATAAACAATGTGTATATTATTTTTACCATTTATAAAGTTGGATTTCTGATATTTTCAAAACGTGAAATTACTTTTTAAGTATCTGCATGTGCACTCAGAGATTTTATTTTGGACCTCCATGTTAATTTACGAAAATCCAAAATTTAAATAATAATTGGGAACTTTAATGATTATTCCAACATTATCGGTTAGTAGTTTTATCCTCTCAGTTAACACCCTTCACGTGATCTTTCCAGAAGGTAAAATTCACAACCACAAGCTCTTAGAAGCAGCACCCGAACACGGCCTCATCCACAAAACGTGCGACGGAGCCGTGGCGGAGACGTTCGCCGGATTCGAGGAGATCAGGGGGGAGGCGTTGGCAGCTGCGGCGGCCGGCGTCGTCGACGGCCACGGCT